CCAAAGCTCAACCCCTACTAAATAATCTCGTCTGGACACAACTAACTCAAACTTGCCACTTGGTTCGTTTGAACGTCAACATAGTTGCGAACTAGCAAATGTACGAATGCCAATAACACAAAGCCATAGCCAAATCATCAACACTATCTTCATTAAGACTAATGAAACTCGACATCAATCTTGCGGAGAGACATCTCATTTCACTTAAATCTCAACATCAACAATGTCAACGACAAGGCATCACCTCAGTGCCACCAACACTAGAACAAAGTTAGAAGAAAGCACGAGTGAATCACCACTCAAAGCCTTCTAGCAACTAAGCTAACCAAAGTCAAAGACACTTAACTCAGTATCCGAGACCAATCCCTCAACAATACTCTACTACAGATAACACTTCCTCAAAGAGTGAATCACCACGTCCAAGACTCAATGAAATCCAACATTATGAACTAAACGCAACCAAATGATATTGACAGAGATAGAGTCAACATGCCAACATGGAAAACCCATGTAAGTCTAACGACACGATCCTCCGCAACACCATCCGGCAAAGCAAGCCCATCACTGCTAAATCATCATCGAGTGAAGCAAGTGTCATAGTCTTTCGACAAAGTTTACAAGCAATCACTAGTCACAAAGCAACTAACAATCACCCCTCAACTTGCCTTCACAAGACTCAAACACTAAACTCATGCCATCAAGTCATATACTTGTCCAACATGAACGTGATACCCCAGGTCAAGATAAACGTTCATGGGCAAGCACAAACTAAATGACCACTCAACTCCAACTCAACCGCAATAAGCTCACTAATGCATTTAGCCAACAGCTCTGAGCATGCCTTGAAGAGGCTAGCTATGCATGATCAACACTCAGCCGAAACTAAAGTGAAGACCATGAGATGGACTCATATCGGTACACAACCTCCTCATAGACAAAGCTATAATACGGGTACCAACATCTTAAACTCAAACAACTAAGTTGAACATCACCATCCTTAGCCAAGGCGCAGGGCCACCAAGACCAAATCAAGATCAGTGAGAGCTCACTACTCTCATAGAGTCTAACGAAATGCAAAGTGCAACCTGCCACCAAGCATAACGCTACAAAAGAAAGGTACAAGGGTCACCTTTCTCAGAAAAGTGCAACAACCACTTTTCTACATTAACTCCAGACTCTATCCAACTCAATTGCCTTAGCCCCAAAAGTCAGCATCCCTTTCAGGCCGCATCATACAAACTACATACTAAGGTTTAAGCCAACTGAAGTCAACTCCAACCCCTTCACTAGTTTGTACTGGCTTACGAAAACGGAATGGTTTTCGGACAAAGTGATAATAGATCAGCTATTGGAAAAGTCTAAGAAAATTTTGTGGAAAATTTCCATCCCAGAGAAAGAATGACTCTCAGTCCAGGAATACAAACTTTCAAGACTCAACCAACTTCCTCCTACTAACAACTTCACATAGGTTCACCTCAACACAAATTCTCATGATCCATAGTACGCTTAAGCCTCGAACATCTCTTTGCCCATTCTTTCAACATCCAACATAGACGTCCGCAGAATGCAAAATGAACATCTAAAGCTTGATCACGGAGACCATATCTTCGGATATTCAAATTGCACTAACACTCTTCTTCAACCACCTTCAAGATCCAATGTAAAGCCAAAACATTAACAAGAAAAATGACATGGAAAATCAAGCTCTAAGGAAACTTCCTCATCACTTAAAATAACAATGCCACTTCCACTAACACAAGTGCTAGTGATATTAATGTCTTAACTACACACCTTCTCCATCCAACAATCTACTCCAAGTGCTAACGGATCAACTAATGAGCTATAGCAAATGCTACAACCCTTTCCAACACCTAATGGGCAAACTCTCAAAGGAATAACGTACCAACTTAAGCTTAGCATAATGGACCACTATCGAGAATCCCGTCAAAACTACTACCATGCTACTACTTGCAAGTAGACTAGCTTCTCCATCAACCACTTTGGGGTTGATCATCGTTTAACCAAGCAACTTCGTAAACACATTGCTCATCATCACATGGATATGATATGGAAATCACAATGATTTGATCATCAATTGAGCAATACCACGAGCGATGTCTATGTCATTACTTTAAAGGTTTATGTGAGTATCAAGTGCAAACTCGATTCGACAAAATGCAACATAGATGCCACACTCCACCGATAGAGACTTACAACACCCAACACCACTAACTTTTGTTCACAACACGGACAAGCTCATGCCACTCTCTTTCCGACCAAACTCAAAACTAATCCAGCACCAAGCTACTCAAGGAGCAATAGCAAGGTTCCCCGAAAAAGAATTGAGCATTGCAACCCAAATCTCCCAATAGCAAGCCTAGACAAAATGGTTTAGCGCTTCACCGCTATCCATCCCATAACTCACCATTTGTAAGACCATCATCTCCAAGATGCATCAAGGTAGGGACTCTTGATTGCATGATGTGAACACGAGCAATGAGTTAACACATCGTTGCAAATTATCTCTCCAAGAAGAGAAGATGATTTACGTGTTTGATCCTTCGCCCCTGATGACTCTCTTTTCGGTCTCATCTTTGACTAAACCTCAAGCTTGCTTTCGCACTGCCTTCAGTCCAATCCAAGAAAAGTTTACGAGAGAGCACAGCAACAATTACTTGAATCAATTGACTCATCCCTACAATCTTGATTGATCCACTCGTAACCATGCCTAGGAAGGATCCACTAGTGCTGTGCTAAACAGCTACGGACCAGCCTATTTGCCACTCATAGCAAACCCAGGGAAAGTTTGCTTTCACCCATGGTACATGGAACAACTCATGGAACCACCGATAGGCTAACATTAATCCTGCCAACTCAAAGTGTAACCTCAAGTTGCTAATGTGCCTCACTCACGAGCCCAAGCTCAAACTCGTGTAACCGGAACAACTCAAATCCTTTTTGTGAGCCCAATGCTCAAGCTCACAAAATATGGTACAACAAGGTAACCAAAACCATACCCAAGGAACGAATGTGAACCCTTTGCACCAAACGTGTACCCACTCGGATCATCGTTTTCATCTCTGCGTATGCAACGAGACTAGTTGCCCAATCTCATTGAATAGAACTCGCTGAGACTCATCCTCTGATACCAAATGTAGCGCACGTGGTTTTTGACCCTTTATCCTATGGTGATTTACCATAGGATAACACCACGAAGCAGAACCTAAACCCTCTTTGTGCCACGTGACAGATGCCACGTGTCACATGCCACGTGTCCATGCCACGTGTCCATAGGAACCCAAGGTTCAAGGCCTTGGGCCACTGAACAAAGGAACGGTGCCAAACTCCCAAGCATGGAGCCAAGGAGTGACGAAACCGAACCATGGAGCAACTCCCGAGCATAAAGCCCAAGGAGCGAAGGGACAGGAGCCCGGAGCGACTTGGAACAGTCCTGGAGCAACCAGCATCCCAATGCCAAGACCAGCATGCAAAACGGAGCCAAACGGAGTCTGGCGCTATTTCGGCATACCGGTGGCCTAACGTGAGGACAAGGGTACTCCACCAACTAGCATGGAATGGAACTTAGGCTTAGACCCAAGCCGGACGCAGAACAAGGACAGGCACGCAAGCGGGAGCTAGACTATGCCTCAGGTTGGTCGGCCATGCCCGACCTACCCACTATCCCTACTATACATTTGGAACCCCCCATAGCCCCCCCCCCTTGAGGAACACACGCTTTGGGCTTTCACCCCAAGCCTCCCTTAGTATCAGGAGTTAGTCTCTGGGACAAGCTCGAAACTTACTAAATATGGAATGTCCCTAGATTGCGAATTTGGACACGAGACGAACACCATTGTGTTCAGGACAATCTCTACATTCCGTAGATATGCCAAATGAGCAAATCTGGACACTTTCCACAAATAGCATTTGGGACCGAAATGAGACTAACACAAAGGGCATGATAGCGAGGGTGTTTGGCAGACACGGTAAGCTATCATCCAGCGATATTGAGGGACCAATCTCAATACGCGAGGGTTCTTGTCAAGCCAGTGCAAGACAGAGCAAAAGAGAACTAACAAGCCGGGCCAAGTATGCTCAGCTAAATAGACACTTAGGAATTCCTTCCTTATGCTCATCCGGCCAAGTACAGATGCAAAGTCCAGTTTACTAACACTTGAACAAGAGGGGCCAATAAAGGGAACCAGCAGTACCGACCTCCTGCCATCGTGGCAGTAAGGTAAGAGTGTCCGTAAGGACTAGTCGACAGGTAACTTTCGATACCCGAAGTCACATGCGCGACAAAGATAGAGTAAAAGAGAGTTAAAAACCAGATTAAGTATTTTTAGCAAAAAACACATAAGAGTTCCTAAATATAGATGTTAACCCTAATTTACTAAACAAAAAAAGGGATCTAGCAATATTAATTTTTTGCTATTGTGGCAATAAAAGAAAAAAATTCAAAAGGATTCACAAATAACTAATTTTTGATACCCACAGTCACATTTGCAATACTTTTATACTTTTTGTTATGTCAATTTTCCTACAAAAATCTTAAACATATTTTTCAATAGTTAATTCATGTGCTCTTTACCTAATTGATTGTGAATGCTTATCACTATTCATGTGCAACTTAGTTTTTTACGTTTTAAAAACTATTTGCCAAAACTTGGATGTGAACTTGGGATCTTAATCACTCATAATATCATCTAACAAACCAAGTAACCAATATACAAATGTTTGAGCAAATTTCAAAACTTTAATTTCAAGGAAGAAATGAACCATTTTTGTCAAACAATCCATAACAATTAAGATAGCATCATTTTCTGTCCTTACAAGGGCTGTGAGACCAACAACTTTCTCATAACTCCAACTAATAATCAACTTCATACCTATCATAAATTTGGTATGTTTAACATACCAATCAAACATGGAATGGATCTTATGAGCTTGGAAATGCTCAAGAGATTGAGACATTAGTCCCCTAAGGATGAGGGAATGAAACCTGTAAGCTTGGGAGAACTAGGCTTTTTAGTTGCCCAAGGGAGGAAGGAATGGAGCCAAAAAACAAGCTTGCTTTGAGATTCAAGACGAGGAGTTTCTCGAGCTTGGTGAGGAACGACGGAATGCTGCCCGAGCTGTCGGCCCTTTCAAGGATGAGGTACCCCAAGCTGGTAAGTTTCCCAACTATGGATGGAATCGGTTCCTCAAATCTATAACCTGTCAGATCCAGCATTTGCAGTGTGGATGCAAGTTGACCAAGCAGTGGTCTGGAGAAGAAGTTCCCTCCCAACTCGAGAACTTCCAGCTGACGCAGCTTACCAAAGGCAGGAGGTACGGGACCATCCATGGCGTATGAAGCTTTGAGAAACAACTTCATCATTGAACGTTGTGGTTTTAATCGTTACTTTTGGAGGTTTGTTCTTTACATTCTTTGTTTGTTGCATGTCCATTGCAGCAGTAAAGCCCGCCACAGCATTCAAGGTCGAAATAGCCACTGACACTGCTGCAAGGGTGCGCTTTGCATCAAACGGGAAGATCAAGATGTATGGCAAGCTTTCAAGAGTCAAGGATGCTCGGCAAGTTTTCGATCGCATGCGTAACAAGGACTCGGTGTCTTGGTTCTTGATGCTAGCTGTGTATGCACAAAATGGTCATATGGAAGAGGCCAAGCTGATGTTTTCCCAAATGCCAGAGAGGAGTTTGATTTCTTTCAATATGATGTTATCTTCGTTTGGTCGGTGTGGATGTGTACAAGAAGCTTACAAAATCTTTAACAACATGCCTCACAGGGATTTAGTGTCTTGGAACGCCGTGACCTTTGCGTATGCCCACAATGGGTATATCAACGAGACGGTTCAGGTGTTTGATGCCATGCCCGAGAGAGATATGATCTGCATGCGAATAATAGAAATTTGGAAAAAGCTAAGAACATCTTTGAGAAAATGCCAGAAAGAGATCTAGCTGCTTGGAACTGTATGCTGAATGCATATTCCCAAAGCGGGTATCCGCAGGAGGCAAGGCGTGTGTTTTATTCTATGCCTCAGAGAAGTCCCATTTCCTGGACTGTGATGTTAAACCTCTCTGCCGCAAATTCTAGTTTACAAGAAACAAAGAATATATTCGAAGCCATTCCAGAAATTAATCTAGTTTCGTGTACGTCAATGATTTCTGCATATGCCCAGTCAGGGTATCTCTTGGAAGCTAAATCATTATTTGATAGAATGCCATGCTGGAACATTGTAACATGGACCGAGATGCTGGCAGCATCTTCATGGCCGAGGACATCTTTCAAAAAATGCCATTCACGCATGCAACGCCATGCTAACCGGATATGCCCACGCTGGCAAAGTTGAGCAGGCAAAGTGTATATTTGACAAAATGCCATGTTGGAGTTTAGTATCGTGGAGTTCACTGCTGTATGCCTTCGCAGGATCAAGAGATATGGACTTGACATGACGATTTTTCGATAAAATGCCATACCAGCAGCTAGTTTCCTGGAACACCATGCTTGATGCTTATGCCCAAAACGGGTATATGGCAGAAGCAAGGGTCATGTTCAATGCAATGGTAGAGAAGGACGTAATTTCTTGGACTATAATGCTTGCTGGCTATGGCCTTAGTGGCCAGAGTTTATTTGCAAGAAAAATATTTGCCCAGATGCCAGGGAAGAATGAAGCTTCTTGGGATGCAATGCTCACTGCATGTACCCAAGCAGGGGAATCGGTTTCTGTGTCACACTATGCAGATGGCCGGCATTTACAACCAAGTTGGATTTGTCTCCGCTCTCAATGCTCACGGCCAAGTTGGTAGTGTTAAATGTGCTAGAAGTTGCTTTGTTTCGATGGCTTTTGACTGTGGCATTCAGCCATGTCACCAGCATTACTCCTGCATAATCGATGGCTTAGCAAGAGCTGGTTACATTGACAATGCAAGAGAACTCATCGAAAACATGCCATTTGTTCCCACTTCTTTGGATTGGCTCAGAGCCTCGAGTGTGGAACCTGTGTATCAAAATGGGTGTCTGGAATTGCGAGCAGCAGAGCTATGTATCCTCTCTTGGCAAATGTATGGGCTTGGCATTGATAGGATCTAAGGAAAAAATAACTGCTGTAAGACTAGAAGTACCAATTGCGTTTCATGCTTGATAAATTCAAATATTGATAAAATGGGAAAAAAAAACAAATCATTTGTCTATATAACACCTAGGATCTGAGCGTGGACCTCCTGGACCAAATCACCAGGGGCTCTGAGAGATCGCGAGCAACTTCAATCAGACAGATACCTTGCAATACGGTGTGTGGAAAGTGCAGCAGGCGAAAATTGTGTTTGCTGATCCGCTGAGGTGTTTGATTCTATGCGAATGTTCTCAAAACTCTTCATCAAAAACTATCAAACGAGCAATGTTTAATGCCTGACGACGACCATGATAGGTACTAACAAAGCAAATATTCCTTTGCGTCACGATGCTCACACGAAGCTCTTCGGAGCGATGGAGATGGAACGCAATGCCCTCGTCATGGCAGCATGGGGCTACCTTCTTTGCAATCGACAAAACATGGGTGATATGCATGGACTTAATCGTCGTTTGGTGCAACGAGACTAGGCCGGATATCGAAGCACCGCACGATTTGGAGGAGTCCAAGGCGTTGATCGAGTTCCTGACAGATTGGGCTTCACCGGAACCTTAGACAAGCACGTTTGATTCCTCTGACAACAGCACGCAATGCAACTCCGACCTCTCAAGGATCGGTCACCAGAAATCATTGACGTACACGAAACTAGATTAATTTCTGAAATGGCTTCGAATATATTCTTTGTTTCTTGTAAACTAGAATTTGCGGCAGAGAGGTTTAACATCACAGTCCAGGAAATGAGACTTCTCTGAGGCATAGAATAAAACACACGCCTTGTCTCCTGTGGATACCCGCTTTGGGAATATGCATTCAGCATACAGTTCCAAGCAGCTAGATCTCTTTCTGGCATTTTCTCAAAGATGTCCTTAGCTTCTTCCAAATTTCTATTATTCGCATGCAACGTTAAAACAAAGATCACGGCGTTCCAAGACACTAAATCCCTGTGAGGCATGTTAAAGATTTTGTAAGCTTCTTGTAGCTTTGTTTCAATGGCTTTTGACTGTGGCATTCAGCCATGCCACCAGCATTACTCCTGCATAATCGATGGCTTGGCAAGAGCTGGTTACATTGACAATGCAAGAGAACTCATTGGAAACATGCCATTTTTTCCCACTTCTTTGGATTGGCCGTGCCTTTTAGCTGCATGTCAGAGCCTTGAGTGTGGAACCTGTATATTGTATACGCAAGGAAACTTTTTGATACAGCCCCTGACAGAGACCAAATCTTGTGGAGCTCCATGATAGCTTCATATGCACAACTAAGCACCACTGACAGCAAGGCCTTTCTTCTCTTCAACGAAATGCAGGCCGTAGATTCCCGAAACACATCGTGCTTCGTATCCATCCTGGCCTCAAAACAGCCACAAAGGCAGCTTTCAAGTGGGAAAGAGCTTCTTCGCTTCCATGGTTGTGGATCACGCCATTGAGCCCACAAGGCAGCACTACAGTTGCATGGTAGATCCCTTCCGAGCCGGCCACCTTCACGACGCCAAAGATCTAATCTTAAGCATGCCGTTCGTTCCCAGTGCTCTCGAGTGGACGTGCCTTCTCGGAGCATGCAAGAGCCACGAGGATTATAACAATCTTAGACTGGGAGACGATGTAGTGAGATCTGTAATGGACGTAACCGACGCAAGCCCCAAGACACCCTATGCTTTACTAGCAAACGTCTACACAAGCTCCCAAACAAAAAATCCACACTATATGAGCCCCCACCGCTACAGCCTCCGCCACCACCACAGCCTCCTCCACCGTGGCCTCCACCATGACCACCACCAGAGCCTCCACTGTGGCCTCCACCATGGTGGCCACCGCTAAACATTGCTCCCGCGAAATCGGAGCGTCTTCTTGGCTTTCGCCTTTTTGGAGATGCAAAGAAACTGAAACACATTTTGGATTGATTGCTTGCATGCAAGGGGGCATAATCTTCTGCTTATACACAGGCTAGAAGGCAATTTGAGACTTTGACCCAGAGGAAGCCACGAAGAAAGCAATGATAGCGCGTGGACCTGGAGAAGTTTATGCAATGAGTGCCACGTCGTGACACTTCATCAGAGTGTTCAAGAAACGCAAGACGTGCATTTGTCTATCCAACCTTTGAGGAATACGTGCATAAAATCTCGTCAAATTGTGCATGAAGGAAGTTGCTTTGCTTGCTTCATATGGTCAGGTCTTGTGGCCAATCAGATGTTCTCCTGCCTAGTATATAAGCGCAAGCCTCCTCGCATCAATCATACCTTTATCTTGCGCAATCCAAGATGTGTTTCGGTTTCTCTCAAGCCTCTAACAGGCGAAAGCAGAGGCGAAGGCGCCCGTCTGCAGCAACGGGCGCCTTCATGGGGGCTGCCGGCAGTGGTGGCGGAGCTTGTGCTGGCACTGGCGGCGGAGGAGGCTGTGGTGGCGGTGGTGGTGGTGGTGGCTGCGGAGGAGGCGGTGGTGGTGGTGGCTGCGGAGGAGGCGGTGGTGGAGGCGGTGGAGGCTGCTAAATACTCTGTATGAGAAATAGCCATGCATATGAATGTTTGTAAATATACATATTCCTGGGTTTTCCAATTGAACTTGTTTGTTTTTCTTACAGCCAAGGATTGAGCTGGCCACGATCTTAGCACTGTTTTGGAACTAGTAAGTAGAATCTCGTAGCATCTATTCAGTAATTCTATGTACTTCAGGTACTATAGTGATTCAAGTAAAATCCAAAAAAAAGGGAAACATCCACTTACAATACAACGTTTTGAGCGCTCTTCTGTTGTCTTCTCTCAAGTAAAAGCTTTGATTCTTCTAGCTCTCTCTCGCCTCCTGTTTTCTTACAATTCGCGTCGGGTTCTCCTTTGGCGGGCGCCCTCGCCTTCCTTCTCAATCTCGTTGCCAGCCGCCTTGTCCTTGGAATCGTCCGGGCTGGAGATGTCTTCCCTCTTGGACTTCTCTACAGTCACCTGCGCAAGACAAACAACCATGACAGTCCAAAACTCGCGCAGCGTATTGCTAATTGTACCTTCGTCTTCTTGGGGGGCGATTTCTTGCCACCAAATAGAATCTTAAACAGCGTGGCCACCACGACGAGCGGGATCAAAGCTATGGCGCTCAAAGAAATGGTTGGGAACTTCTCGGCCTTCTCCAGAAGATCCTGTCACAAACGAAAAGAAAATTAGAATACGAGACAAAGTCCATGCTCGTGTGTTTTACTTACAAGAATCTTTTCCTTCTGTGACGCCAAAGCCGGGATGTCGGCAACCTTGCGCAGGTACTCAAACATCTTTGCCTGAAAAGATTCGAGGTCGTCACACACACACACACAAAGAAAAAAAAAAGACAGACAAAAGAAAACAAAGGAAAAGTACCTGGATGCCGTCAGGACTAGGAGTCGCTTCTTCAATTTTTTGCTTCTCCTTCTCAGCCTCTTACTTGGGCTTCCATTTCGTCTCCCTGTACTCTGCTGCCACAGCCTCGTCGGTCGCCACCAGGATGTTGTCAAAAAGAATGCCGTCCTGCATCGTCCAGATCTCGATCCCTATCGCCGAGATCGGCTCTAGATCCGGCCTGTCCAACTCGAAGTACTCCGGGTTTGGTATTTGCTTCGGAGCCCAGATCCCCTTGTAAGCCGGGTTGTCGATCATCGAAGGATACCACTTCCCCTTGTAGTCCGGGTTCCTCTTCATGGGCCTCTTCCATTCTCCACACCCAGACGCTTCCTCACACTTTGGGTTGCTGATCTTCGGGGGCTCCCACTCGCCATCCTCCTCGTCGTCCCAGTCCGCGGGTTTGCTAGCTTCCGGATCGTCAACCTCGTCCGGCTCGTTGTCCAGCCAGTCATCGGGCTTGACCGCCTCCGCGTCCTCGATCTCCAGTGGAGCGTCCGGCTCGTTGTCCAGCCAGTCATCGGGCTTGGTCGCTTCCGGATCGGGGATCTTCGCCGGCTCGTCCCAGTCCTCGGGCTTCTTGTCGTCGGGATTGGGGATGGTCTTGGGCGGGATCACGGCCGGCTGGAAGTCGCTCGAGAGGAGGTCGACGCTCTTCTCCTCCTTGCCGTCGACGAGGATCTTGAGCGTGTTGTTCGGGTAGATCACTGCTGTGTAGACGTGAGAGAGCTTGTCAGCCACTGGCGATGGCGGGTACTTGAGGTGATGCTCGATGTGCTTGTCGGATTTAGGGCCTTTGTGCTTGTAGATGAAGTGCACCTTGTTGGTGGTGCCACATCTGTCCAGCCCAAACATGATTGAGTAGGGGGATTCGTTGCTGAAATTGACGGGCGTCCATTGCAGGAGAAAGAACTTAAGATACACTCTCCCTTTTGGGATTATAGAGATGGGTTTAAACCTTAGTTAAACACAGAATCACATAAGTATGGAGTTAAATTATGCTTTAAGTTAGTCAACCGTGTTTAACTTATTATACATTTGGAATTCATCAAAAACTCAAAAGCTCAAGGGTGGTTAAGTGGTGAAGAACTTTAAGAGAAGATTAAATTTTGTATTTTCACACTAGATTATAACATTGGTATTGAAGCCTAATTTAATTCTCATGGCTAACAAATATAAAACAAGAACCAAAGTTGGTAAACCTTAAGAGAAGTACCATTGGTGACTGGATAGCCTAAATATGATTGTAGATGATCATTCCTAAAGGATTGTTAAGCACCAAATTAATGTAATAGAATAGAAAAAAGGTTTATAAACAAAACCCCCCTTTGTAAAAAAAATGCATGCTCTAGGATTTTACTTTAGTCCCAAAAATTAGTCTTTAAAACAATCACAAAAACTTGTATATTTGACAAAATGCCATGTTAAAGTTTAATATTGTGGAGTTCACTATTGTATGGATACACAGGATCAAGAGATATGGACTTTGACACGACGATTTTTCGATAAAATGCCATACCAACATCTAGTTTCTTGGAACACCATGCTTGATGCTTATGCCCAAAACGGGTATATGGTAGAAGCAAGGGTCATGTTCAATGCAATGGTGGAGAAGGACGTAATTTCTTGGACTAGAATGCTTGCTGCCTATGGTCTTAGTGGCCAGAGTTCACTTGCAAGAAAAACTTTTGCCCAGATGCCAGGGAAGAATGAAGTTTCTTGGGATGCAATGCTCAGTGCATGTACCCAAGCAGGGGATTCGGTTTCTGTGTTTGAGTTGTTTCACACTATGTAGATGGCCGGCATTTACAACCAAGTTGGATTTGTCTCCGCTCTCAATGCTCATGGCCAAGTTCGCAGTGTTGCTTTGTTTCGATGGCTTTTGACTGTGGCATTCAGCCATGTCACCAGCATTACTCCTGCATAATCGATGGCTTGGCAAGAGCTGGTTACATTGACAATGCAAGAGAACTCATCGGAAACATGCCATTTGTTCCCACTTCTTTGAATTGGCTGTGCCTTTTAGCTGCATGTCGGAGCCTCGAGTGTGGAACCTGCATATCAAAATGGGTGTCTGGACTTGCGAGCAGCAGAGCTATGTATCCTCTCCTGGCAAATGTATGGGCTTGGCATTGTTAGAATCTAAAGAACAAAAACTGCTGCCTAGATTATGTTGTCAAATTGCTCGAGAATTTAAGACTAGAAGTACCAATTGCGTTTCATGCTTGATAAATTCAAATATTGACAAAATGGGAAAAAAACAAATCATTTGTCTATATAACACCCAACATTCCCAGGATCTGAGCGTGGACCTCCTGGACCAAATCACCAGAGGCTCTGAGAGATCGCGAGCAACTTCAATCAGACAGATACCTTGCAATACCTAGCGATTGAGGTGTGTGGAAAGTGCACCAGGCGAAAATTGTGTTTGATGATCCGCCTGAGGGAATGTGTTTGATTCCATGTGAATGTTCTCAAAACTCTTCATGGATAACTAGAAAACGATCAATGTTTGATGCCTGACGACGATACTTGCTGCCATGATAGGTACTAACAAAGCAAATATTCCTTTGCGCCACGATGCTCACACGAAGCTCTTCGGAGCGATGGAGATGGAACGCGATGCCCTTGTCATGGCAGCGTGGGGCTGCCTCCGACTCGATCCATCGCCTTGGACTCCTCCAAATCGTGCGGTGCTTCGGTATCCGACCTGCACCAAACGACGATTAAGTCAATGCAAGTGCTACGTCCATATCACCCATGTTTTGTATTACAGATTGGGCTTCACAGGAATCTTAGACAAGCACGTTTGATTCCTCTGACAACAGCACGCAATGTAGCTCCGACCTCTCAAACTCCTTGAAGGATCGGTCACCAGTGATGTAGAACACAAAGGCAGAGCATGGAGACGTATACCGCAGCGAGTGCTGCCACTAGCCAAGCGAAAAGAAAGCCGTAGCCTGGGTAAAGCGTCCAGGCCTTCCCGAGTACTGGGAGCGCCATGGCGAAGACCGAGTCGGAGATACCTTCCCTGCCAAAGAAACAGAAGAACATTAGAGAGCTTTGATTGATCAAAACTGTCACATCTGTAATCGAATGTCTGGAGATATGGATCTACAACCGCTGAAACGCCTCCAACCAACTAAAGCCATTCTCCACGACACGGAAAGCATCGGCCTCTTTCGCCCGGGGACCGCTTGCTCCCAAGTCGCGGTTGATATCAATCCTAAAAGCATTCACCAGAAACTTAGAGAACACCATCATAACTGCGCTCTACCTCTTTTTCCCGGCCTGGCGCATCAGGTCTGGGAACTCGAAATCGTAACAAATAGCTCCTCCAATCCGGCCGAGCTCGGTCTTGATGACAGGAAGAATGGGATCCCCTGGAGTTCCATACCAATGGAACCAAGTGGGATTTCCTGTAGGTAAATCCAATGGAGCCATCGGGAAGAACGAGGTCGAAATAGTTCCCGACGCTCGCGTCCTTGTACTCGTAAGTGATGCCGACGTAGGCGCCGTGCTGGAAAGCGATCTGTCCGGCTTTGAATTGGAGAGAATCCCTCTCCTGTTTGAGGTGGAGTTTCACCGCAGCCTCGGACCAGAGCACCAACCGATCGCCGGCTCGGAGGCGCTGGTTCGTCCGGTTGAGCATCACATCCATGTCCTCGTAGACGAGGAGCTTGCCCAGGACGCAAGAGACCGGCACTGTTTTCTTCATCGTGAGGGCGATGTCCTTCTGGAAGAAATCGCCCGAGAAGACCGAGACCCTGGCGCTGCCGTAGAACAAGGTCGAGAGGGCAATGGCTCCAAACGCCAGGGAGTGGCCGCGATGCAGCTGCGTAGCACGCTTCTTGTCGGATTTGTCCATCTTGGGAAGAGACTCGTCGAGAACGGTCCTGTCGTGGAGAATCGCCGAGAACCACGCCATGAGGAATGCGATCCCATCCATCCCCCACACGCCGGCGCTCATCACCAGGGGCAAGATTGTCACCTGCGACACGGCGGGATGGAGGAGGGCGCCGACGCCGCCGAATCGATTCCACAGGAACCACGCCGTGGTCCAGACCGACGCAAATACCAGCGGCTGGGACGTTCTTGCTCGATCAAAACGCTTCCTGTAGCCGATGCTTGCAAGAAATGGGAGGAGAAGAAACACCCACAGCGCCAGTGCCCAGATTATTCCCACAATTGGCACGCTGCTGGCGGTGGAGTTGTCCGGGCTCACCTTTCCCAGGAAGAATGCCAGGAGAGCAAGAATTGTGCGTAATCCCTGATTTGTGGAAGAAATGCAGGAGGAAAAATGGTTGGAGCCAAGAACAAATTGCAACAGATTGGAAACCAGAGAAGAAAGTGCATGCCACCAAGAGAATGGCCAGCATTTCACTTTCGTCATGTCTCTTGGTGCTTGTTTGAATGTAGGTGGTAATTTATATTTTTATTAAAATGAAAAGAATATATTATAAATATTCAGGTATATTTTAAAATATACCTTCATCTAGCAGTTTTAATTTTTTCACTCATAAAATTATCAGTGTTTAATACTATATCTTAAACATAGACAAAACCTCTAAAGTTAACTGAAATCTAGAGAAAAAAAAAATATATATATACTACTTGATGTAATACAAAACTCCTATCCTCTTGTCTATATCTACATCTTCTTTTCCCATTTGTTTCTTTTGCATTATAAAATATTAAAACCATGATATAATTATATTTGTTTAAGATGTTACTTAAAGGTCATTAGTGTTTAATACAGTCATAAAGATAACTTACTACTACTTAAAGAAGCTTTTGGTTCTTTTGATTCTTGGGCTACAAATTTTTGGATTTTCACTTTGTTTCTACCAAGTGACAAAAGCTATTGAAAGTAATCTAAAAAAATATTATATTCAAACAAGTCTATAGTTTTTAGAACAATCTAACCATGCTAGTTGCATAAATTTTTTAACTTATTTGTACATTGTAAACAACTAAAGAGAACGAATTGCATATAGGTTCAAAAATAAAGGGAAAGAACTTATTACACCCTATTTTTCAATTAGTTAAGAGGGATATTTAGGGTTAAATATTTTTGGGTTTGAATAATAGTGGGCTAAATGAACTTTTAAGAAGTCTAAATTTTATTGGTTGGCTAAGGGAATTATATTATATATTTGATTAACATCTAATAAGAGAGTGAGGCTCTCAAAAAAGTCTTGAAGAGTTACTTGAGAGATAATTAAATATAAAAAGAAAATAGTTATAAGTAAAAGTGCACCACCTTTTTCCAATTTGTTAAAAGTCTTGGAATACTCTAGGCTTGAGAAACAATAAAGTATATATGGAAAAAGCCCATGAATAAAACACTCATTTTTTAATCAGTTAAAATTGGTTAAAGGTTTTAGGATTGCATTTAATTTTGGAAAGAATTGATCACCAAGATCTCCAAGAATGAGGGAAAGAAGCCAATTACAATAAAGAGGGTGTTAGAGTAAAAGACACATCACCCTCTACCTCTAGTTGCTTTGTACCCCATTTCCCAATTTCAATATATCCCATGACCTACTTGTGTTAATGGTTTAAGGTAACTATGATATTTTAAGATATTCTACCATTTAGCAAATAGATTAATTTTGTATTTAAACACTTTTTAGTATATTCTAGATTATTCTACTTTTAATTCGGATTGATCAATTAGGTTAATAAATATTACTAAACAAAAATAAAACCATTATTAACAAACTACACATTGTTACAAACAAATTATTCTTCTCATAATGAATTTTTAATATTATCATTAAATATTATTTAATCTAAGTATGTTCTTACAACAATCTTGAGTTCAATGTTTTGGGTTAGATTATGAACAGAAACTCAAGCATTCATTTTATTCAATCCTGCAAAAGCCTTTATGAAGCAAGAGAGATTTACCTGAATCTTAAAAGGAATCATCCACTTGCTAATGATTCCTTCCTCAGCAACAAGCTCATTGAGATGTTTGGCAAATATGAAAGCCCGCAAGAGGCACGCCAAATCTTTGATACCATCAAACACAAAGACTCCTTTTCGTGGGCTTTCATGTTTCAAGCTTATGCCCAAAACTCCCATCTTAAACATGCAAGAGAGATCTTCGACAAAATGCCGCAAAAGGATGTCCTTGCATGGACATCCATGCTCTTGGCATATGCCCGGAGTGGGCATATTCTCAATGCCCAAAAAACATTTGATGAGATGCCGCAACACAGCCTTCTCTCATGGAATGCATCTTGTCAGTCCACGCACACAGCTGGGATCTACAATATGCCGAAAGGATTATCTCCGGGATGCCCGAGTATGATCTCGTGTCGTGGAATTCCATTCTTGCGCCCGGAACGGGCATGTAGAGGGAGCGAAACGTGTTTTCGATTCTATGGAGGCTCGTGACCTTGTATCATGGACGACAATCTTGGTTGCCTTGTCGCAGGGCGGAGATTTGCACGGAGCAAAACTTTTGTTTGATGTAATGCCGCAGCACGATCTCGTCGCCTGGACCGCGATGCTTAGCGCGTACGCACTGAACGAGGATGTCGATTCGGCACAGAGGATTTTCCGCGAGTAGATCTCGTTTCGTGCAACACCGTGATGCGATGCTGCCGTGATGCTAGACAATCAAAGCTTATATTTGACTCCATGTCGCAGAGAGCTCTCTCGTCGTGGACAACAATGCTCGCTGTTCTTGCCAAGAACAGCCCCGGGGAGGAAACCAAGAGCTTTTTCTATCAAATGCCGGAGCTTGATCTTACTTCCTGTACGATAATGCTGCTCTCACAACCCTCAGACTTGGATCTTGTGAAGGCCACCTTTGATCAAATGCCGCAGCGAGACCTGTGCTCTTGGAACTCTGTTCTTTTGGCGTATGCCCAATCAGGGCATTGTGACTTTGCTTTAAGACTCTTTAACGAGATGCCCGAAATGGATATGGTTTCGTGGAACACAATGTTAAATGCGTTTGTTCTAACTAGCAAACTACGTGAAGCTGCTTTACTCTTTCATAGCATGCTAGAACGCAACGTTGTGACCTGGGATGCTTTGATATCTGCATTTCCCGAGAAGGCCATATTGTATACGCAAGGAAACTTTTTGATACAGCCCCTGACAGAGACCTAATCTTGTGGAGGCTCCATGATAGCTTCATATGCACAAGTAAGCACCACTGCCAGCAAGGCCTTTCATCTCTTCAACGAAATGCAGGCCGTCGATTCCCCAAACACATCGTGCTTCGTATCCATCCTGGCCGCAAACAGCCACAAAGGCAGCTTCCAAGCGGGAAAGAGCTTCTTCGCTTCCATGGTTGTGGATCACGCCATTGAGCCCACAAGGCAGCACTACAGTTGCATGGTAGATCTCTTGAGCCGAGCCGGCCACCTTCACGACGCCAAAGATCTAATCTTAAGCATGCCGTTCGTTCCCAGTGCTCTCGACTGGACGTGTCTTCTCGGAGCATGCAAGAGCCACGAGGATTATAACAATCTTAGACTGGGAGACGATGTAGTGAGATCTGTAATGGACGTAACCGACGCAACTCCCAAGACACCCTATGCTTTACTGGCAAACGTCTACACAAGCTCCCAAACACAAAATCCACACTATATGTAAAATCTAAGGACTTACTCTCTCCTGTACGCATGAAGTCATTTTAATCACCTCCGCCACCGCCACCTCCTCCGCCACAGCCCCCACCGCCACAGCCTCCGCCACCACCACAGCCTCCTCCACCGTGGCCTCCACCGTGGTCACCACCAGAGCCTCCACTGTGGCCTCCACCATGGTGGCCACCGTTAAACATTGCTCCCACGAAATCGGAGCGCCTTCTTGGCTTTCGCCTTTTTGGAGATGCAAAGAAACTGAAACACATTTTGGATTGATTGCTTGCAAGGGGGCATAATCTTCTGCTTGTATTCAAGGCTAGGACGCAATTTAAGACTTTGACCCAGAGGAATCCACGAAGAAAGCAATGATAGCGCGTGGACCTGGACAAGTTTATGCAATCAGTGCCACTTCGTGACACTTCATCAGAGTGTTCAAGAAACGCAAGACGTCTATCCAACCTTTGAGGAATACGTGCATACGATCTCGTCAAATTGCGCGTGAAGGAAGTTGCTTTGCTTGCTCCATATGGTCAGGCCTTGTGGCCCATCAGATGTTCTCCTGCCTAGTATATAAACGCAAGCCTCATCGCATTGATCATACCTCTATCTTGCGCAATCCAAGATGTGTTTCGGTTTCTCTCAATCCTCTAACAGGCGAAAGTAGAGGCGAAGGCGCCCGTCTGTAGCAACGGGCGCCTTCGTGAGTGGTGGCGGAGCTTGTGCTGGCACTGGCGGCGGAGGCTGTGGTGGCGGTGGTGGCGGTGGTGGTGGTGGTGGCTGCGGAGGAGGAGGCGGCGGCGGCGGAGGCTGCTAAATACTCTGTATGAGAAATAGCCATGCATATGAATGTTTGTAAATATGCATATTCCAAAACTTGCTCAAATAATACGTACAGTTTGTTTGTATTGAACTTGTTTGTTTTTTTCCAGCCAAGGATTGAGCTGGCCACGATCTTAGCACTGTTTTGGAACTAGTAAGTAGAATCTCGTAGAATCTATTCAGCAATTCTATGTACTTCAGGTACTATAGTGATTCAAGTAAAATCCAAAAAAAAGGGAAACATCCACTTACAATACAACGTTTTGAGCTCTCTTCTCTTGTCTTCTCTCGAGCAAAAGCTTTGATTCTTCTAGCTCTCTCTCGCCTCCTGTTTTCTTACGATTCGCGTCGGGTTCTCCTTTGGCGGGCGCCCTCGCCTTCCTTCTCAATCTCGTTGCCAGCCGCGTCGTCCTCCGCCTTGTCCTTGGAATCGTCCGGGCAGGAGATGTCTTCCTTCTTGGGCTTCTCTACGGTCACCTGCGCAAGACAAACAACCATGAGAATCCAAAACTCGCGCAACGGTATTGCTAATTGTACCTTTGTCTTCTTGGGGGGCGATTTCTTGCCACCAAAAAGAATCTTAAACAGCGTGACCACCAACACGAGCGGATCAAAACTATGGCGCTCAAAGAAATGGTTGGGAACTTCTCGGCCTTCTCGAGAAGATCCTGTGTGTCACAAACGAAAAGAAAGTTAGAATACGAGACAAAGTCCATGCTCATGTGTTTTACTTACAAGAATCTTTTCCTTCTGTGGGGATGTCGGCAACCTTGCGCAGGTACTCAAACATCTTTGCCTGAAAAGATTCAAGGTCGTCACACACACACACAAGAAAAAAACAAAAGACAGACAAAAGAAGACAAAGGAAAAGTACCTGGATGCCGTCAGGACTCGGAGTCGCTTCTTCAATTTTTTGCTTCTCCTTCTCAGCCTTGTACTTGGGCTTCCATTTCGTCTCCCTGTACTCTGCTGCCACAGCCTCGTCGGTCGCCACCAGGATGTTGTCAAAAAGAATGCCGTCCTGCATCGTCCAGATCTCGATCCCTATCGCCGAGATCGGCTCTAGATCCGGCCTGTCCAACTCGAAGTACTCCGGGTTCGGTATTTGCTTCGGAGCCCAGATCCCCTTGTAAGCCAGGTTGTCGATCATCGGAGGATACCACTTCCCCTTGTAGTCCGGGTTCCTCTTCATGGGCCTCTTCCATTCTCCACACCCAGACGCTTCCTCACACTTTGGGTTGCTGATCTTCGGGGGCTCCCACTCGCCATCCTCCTCGTCGTCCCAGTCCGCGGGCTTGCTAGCTTCCGGATCGTCAACCTCGTCCGTGTCCAGCCAGTCATCGGGCTTGACCGCCTCCGCGTCCTCGATCTCCAGTGGAGCGTCCTCGTCCCAATCGTCGGGCTTGGTCGCTTCCGGATCGGGGATCTTCGCCCGCTCGTCCCAGTCCTGGGGCTTCTTGTCGTCGGGATCGGGGATGGTCTTGGGCGGGATCACGGCCGGCTCGAAGTCGCTCGAGAGGAGGTCGACGCTCTTCTCCTCCTTGCCGTCGACGAGGATCTTGAGCGTGTTGTTCGGGTAGATCACTGCTGCTGTGTAGAGGTGAGAGAGCTTGTCAGCCACTGGCGATGGCGGGTACTTGAGGTGATGCTCGATGTGCTTGTCGGATTTGGGGCCCTTGTGCTTGTAGATGAAGTGCACCTTGTTGATGGTGCTACATTTGTCCAGCCCAAACATGATTGAGTAGGGGGATTCGTTGCTAAAATTGCCGGGCGTCCATTGCAGGAGAAGGAACTTGAGATAGGCGATGCCACACTCTAATCCCTTCTGGAATTATAGAGATTGGGTTTAAACCTTAGTTAAATACAGAATAAGTGGGAGTTAAATTATGCTTTAAGTTAGTTAACCATGCTTAACTTACCCATTATTTTTATTATACATTTGGAATTCATCAAAAACTCAAAAGCTCAAGGGTGGTTATGTGGTGAAGAACCTTAAGAGAATATTAGATTTTGTATTTTCACACTAGATTATAACATTGGTATTAGAGCCTAATTTAATTCTCATGGCTAACAAATATAAAAGGGAAACGAAGCTTAGTAAACCTTAAGAAAAGTACCATAATGACCAGAGGATAGTTTAAATATGATTGTAGATAATAATTCCTGAAGGATTGTTAAGCACCAAATTAAGGTAATAAAATAGAAAAAAGGCTTATAAACAAAACCCCCCTTTGTAAAAGAATGCATGCTTTAGGATTTTACTTTAGTCCCAAATATTAGACTTTAAGAAAATCACAAAAACTTATTAAATATAAAATGACACTAGATTGCAAATTTAGATGCAAGAATAACAAAACGTATATTTGACAAAATGATATGTTAAAGTTTAGTATTGTGGAGTTCACTATTGTATGTCAGACAGGATCAAGAGACACGACGATTTTTCGATAAAATGCCATACCAACAGCTAGTTTCTTGGAACACCATGCTTGATGCTTATGCCCAAAACGGGTATATGGTAGAAGCAAGGGTCATGTTCAATGCAATGGTGGAGAAGGACGTAATTTCTTGGACTAGAATGCTTGCTGCCTATGGCCTTAGTGGCCAGAGTTCACTTGCAAGAAAAACTTTTGCCCAGATGCCAGGGAAGAATGAAGTTTCTTGGGATGCAATGCTCAGTGCATGTACCCAAGCAGGGGATTCGGTTTCTGTGTTTAAGTTGTTTCACACTATGCAGATGGCCCGGCATTTACAACCAAGTTGGATTTGTCTCCGCTCTCAATGCTCACGGCCAAGTTGGCAGTGTTAAATGTGCTAGAAGTTGCTTTGTTTCGATGGCTTTTGACTGTGGCATTCAGCCATGTCACCAGCATTACTCCTGCATAATCGATGGCTTGGCAAGAGCTGGTTACATTGACAATGCAAGAGAACTCATCGGAAACATGCCATTTGTTCCCACTTCTTTGGATTGGCTGTGCCTTTTAGCTGCATGTCGGAGCCTCGAGTGTGGAACCTGCGTATCAAAATGTGTGTCTGGAATTGTGAGCAGCAGAGCTATGTATCCTCTCCTGGCAAATGTATGGGCTTGGCATTGATAGAATCTAAGGAAGAAATAAACTGCTGCCTGGATTATGTTGTCAAATTGCTCGAG